GAAAGTTCAAATAGTATATAGGTAAAGTTGGACATTTTCCATGAATAAGTTCCAAGGTACAATAGTTCAAATTGACTTACAATTTAAAGGTTCACGTAAATTTAGTAACTTTTATCTGTACACACTGTATATGAAAAAAAGAATCACTTAATATGTTTAGATATTTACTTAAATTCAATCATTATAACAAGATTGAGAGCTCACGAGTTTGAGTATTGAGAAAATAACTTTTTCCAATTTGATTGCATTCATTAGATCCTTGAAGTCTAATTATTTTCTAAACGTCATGCATAATGAGAGTTTAGTGTATCAAACTGTCAAAAACAAAATGTTTTTTTCCCTAGTTTGGTGGAATCAATTTTCAGATGAAATAAAAATTATTACTAATTTTAGTCTATTATTTACTAATTTTGGAAAACAATAAAAAAGACATATTTTGATTGCTACACACAAGTTATATTATGGACACATAAAGTTCAATTTGATATTTATGTTGTGGGTAGGTTTGTCTCTATTTAATGTATTTTCTTTTTCATTAGGCCTACCAATTGTTTTCATTATTGATTATTGTCACCAAGGCAAAATTAAACCTGCATAAATGATTGAACATTTTTTTTAAAAAAAAATATATTTATTTTTTCTTTTCGATGTTTGATATGCATATTAAACATCAGCTAGTTAAAAATCTCAAACTATTTATTAAAAGGAAAAATGTTACCGATCCTAAGGAATCTTTATGAAAATATCAAATTAGATTTACGTTTTGTTTGCCTTTTTCAAGATAACAGATATAAAGTATACACTGATTATATACCGTTATACACATATTGTAGATGGATCATATAAATATTATATATACATATACATTCCTCTCTCTATTTTTAATTTAATTAATTGTATGAGATTGCTATTTAATTCAATTAACATAAAAAAAATGCCTAAATGTACTTGAGAAATAAATTTGAACATTTTCCCCCTTTTTTATAAACTTAAAAAGTTACTCTTTTTATTGTTAATTTAATAGTGGACTATAATGTGACATATAGAATCAAAATATAAAAAATTCATAAGACCACAAAAGCATGATAAATAAAACAATAATTTTATGATCCACAAATTTTAAAATTAAAAAAATAGTACAAAAAAAAAAGGAGAAGGAATTATCAACATATTATCATGATTATGGTGGTATAGTAGGGAATAATAATGATCAACTTAATAGCCTTATTGATGATATTTAATAATCTATTATACTAATACCATATTGTTCTAATTAATTATTAATTAATATCGAGAAAAAGAGAATTATTTCAAAAAGTAAATAAATTAGGAAAAAAGGGTGTGAAAAAAAAATAATTGGGTCTACAACTTAGTTCAAAGCTGTAATTTTTATGAAATAATTAAGTATAATTACCTTTTGTTGGTTATAAGAAAAAATAAATAACCTAAATAATTATATAAAATTTGATACCTATGTAAAAAATATTTGATCACATAAAAAGCTAAAATACTATTATTCAAACTCTTGTTTTCAGTTAATAATACTGAAAAAGTGGATAAAGCAATGGATAAAGATACAACTAATGTATATTTTATATCATGCATAAACATATTATTTATATATATATAAATAAATAATTTTATTAAATATATAAATATTATAATATAATTAAATTACCCAAAAGGACAAAATGAGTGATGAGTAGTCATGTGCTTTGATGATTTCAACTCAATTATTAATGACCAAATCAACTTAATTTATATTTTTGCCAATGCTTTTGCATGTCTTTTTATTGCCTCAAACATGTTGGCTTCTATAGTTTTCTTGATTATTCAATGATTTTTTTTAATTAAACCATACTTTGTTGCATCCTCTTTAAAAATATAACCAATTAAGAAGAGTTGTGGAGGTTGTAAGTCGATTTTTATTTCTAATTATTCGAGTTCTGATTATGGAATCACTTTTGTTATTTCTTGTTTCTCTTTTTAACGTGAAACTTTTCAACATAAATATGAGTTTAATCATGCCACAATACAAGCATCGGACATCAGAAGTAGAGATTAAAGAACTTGATCATCAAAATTGTGATTGAATTTTCTGTGCTCTTAATCAGACTTAACTTTTTTTAGAAATAGAGATTAACTTCTTGAAAGGAAACATTTTTATCCTCTTAATTGATTTATTCAACAAATTTAAATTAATCGAATAAATAGAATTCGAAAACCTAGTGACTATTAAAAAGATTATAATAGATAACTAAATTATTTTGGATGAGAAGTAGCATGTGGAGTTTGTTTCTTTGGAGGGGAAAATTAAAGAAAATTATTCACTTTTTTTAATTATTATTTTTTTTAATAAAGAAGGATGCTTGTTTTGTTGTTCTTTGCAAGTAATTTTATTCATGATTCTTGCCATTTTATACTTATTTTATTTTATTTTTTGGGTTATTAATGATTATTGTTGTTTGTTTTATGTGGCTTGGTCCATGTGCTAGCTTAAGTTGTGAGGAAATTACATTTATAATATATTTTCCCACCATATAAATAAATATATAAATTTTGATATCTAATCATTAAAAATTGACACTATAGTACTAAGAGCAAGATATAACTTCAACTAATTATCTCAAAATTGAGACTTTTCTCTCTTTTATATCAGGTCTATCGAGTTATTTTTTATAAATCGATAAAAAAAACAAATAATTGATACGAAATAAAATTATCTAAAATCATAAAAAGAAATAAAAGTCTCTTTAGAATTGTTATGATATAATTTAACATTCCCCCTTCTCACCCCCTCCCTCCGCATCCCTAGAATAACCGATTAAAAGGCATACGTCTAGATCTCACAATTGAAGCGTGAATAACATATATCATGATAGCTCAATATTGAAAAATACAATAATGAAAGGAGCTATCTTTAATATTGTGTGAAAATATGAACTTGGTGTTAACTCAAATCGAAGTTAGTTCATGAAGTGAAAATGACGTAATATCATATAAATGTAACAATTTAACAATTTTAATCCCTTGATTATTGATAAATTTAGATATAGATTTTTAAATATACGACTCGACTCATCTAACCTTTAAATTATTAAACTTATAACATTAGAAAGTAAAATCAAATATTCAGTAATTCTTCCCACTTAATCACATCATAATTGTATCTTCTAAATTGAGTTTCTTAGTTTTTGATAAAATTGATTATTTATGATGATGAATTAATTAAATTTTGATTACCAATCCATAGAATAATCATAAAGAAACACACCAGAATGTCTACATAATTAACCAAGAACAAATAATTATTTACTGATAACTAATTTTTTCTTTTCAACTACTTTTTAATAATTTGTAAGTTGTTGTAAATGCAAAGCTAGATAATTAGCACTTTATAATTACCATGGTATCAATAATTAGTTTGGAGCTTAATATTGTTCTGTTTAATTATATACTTTATAAAACTTTTAATTAAAATTTCATAATTTAAGTTTCTTGAAGGTTCTCAATTGGGCTATGTTACTATGGTCCGGATGGGAAATTGGCCCGACCCGATAATTTAAGATATCTCGCAGAAAATTTCAAATTGATTACGTCACGTCTATCTTTACTATTTTTTATAATAATAATAATAAATATGTATCTTCTGATTTTACTGCAAAAAAATAATTTAGAAAACCCATGATTTATGTTATTAATGTACAATGAATCCATAGCAAAAGAACAACAAATTGCCAATTTGTATTTTTGTCCAAAAAAAGACTAGGCTTGTTGTCCACAATTTGTATGATGAAGACATATAATATGTAATGTGACTTTCAATTGATAAAGTGAGATTTTTGTCCCTTTTCTTGATAGGCTTATTTGTCAAATATATTCACCCTCATGGTATTTGTAAGGGCAGAGCGATAAAAAATCAGTTAAAAGATAAGGATTGATCAACTTTTAAGTTGAAAAGCGAATTAAGAAGGGGTTCTAGATGAATGTCATATTGAACGAAAGAAGAAAGTAAAGAGTTTTATAAAGTATAAGTAATAGCATAATTAAGTTCACAAATGCATGCACGCTTTTGAACTTAACAATGACGTGAGTCTAGGGATATTTCATGAGGTTTTTGAACCAGAAAAGGTAATATGTGTTATGAACTTGAATCGTAATAATATCATTTCAGCTTTTGTCATATCCTAAGAATATGATTCAAATCTCTATTAAAAATTATGTAATTTTAGAGTTTTTTTTTTTTTAGGTTTGAAACTTTAGGTTAAAAGGCATATTGGAAAACAATTGGTCCAAAACCATGATTGTTAATGGCTCAAAACTTACATTATTAACCATTTCAATGATTGCATATAACTTTGAAATTTAAAATTGTACTTTCCCTAAAAAAGAAAAATATGCTTTTCCTTTTTGGTCAATATATAAAAGAAAATTAGAAATCAGTCTTTGTCACGTTAAACTTACCTTGTACAATTTACGTTTAAGAAGTAGAAAATGATAGTGTATACGTAGTTTTACTTTTAATTTTTAAAAAATAGAGAGTTTATTTCTGATAGATTCTCAACTGAAGTAAATGATTTGAGATATATAATAATAATAACAATAGCATATCAGTTAAATCCCATAGGTAGAGTCTGAAAAGATTGACGTATACACAACTTTATCCATATTTTAAAAAGATAAAAGAGATTATTTTCGATTTTAAAAAAATGATTAGTCAATTAATAAATGATGATATTAATTTGAGAAAAATGGGGTCATCATTCAGTTAGTTTCAACAAACATTGAATTGATTTTGTCCAAATTTAGAATTGGTAAAATGTCATAAATTTTTAAGTAACAAAATGATCTTTAATCCAAGAAGGGAAAATAAATTGAATAAGAATTTCCTATAAGAAAAAAAGAAATATCTTTAAACCAAAAAGAGAAAATAATTTTAATTTTCAACCCACTATAAATATGTATTAAAAAAAAAAATATTCAGAATAGAACTCAAAATTATTTTAGAAAAAAATGGTGTCCATCACAAAGCATTTGATTTTTTTCACTTTACTTGTTTTTGTCATCTTTCCTGCTCATAAATGTAAGTATGATTAAAAAAATTAATTCTTCATTATGCCTTTGAAATTAAAATTAGCTACGAATTTCGTCGTTAAATTACAATTTATTACTAAATAGGATTAGCAACAAACTTTACTGTTTAACTACAGAATTTTTCTGATACTAATTATTGTGTTTTTCGTCTGGTTGCCTAATATATTGCAAGATAAAATTAATGTTTTATTTTATTTTTTAACTCGATATCTAATATTAGTATCGTAGCTCTTTGTAAGGCCCATTAAAAGGTACAATACTCCTTACTAGACTTTTTTCATATCTATATATAAAAAGTTAAATCTTTTCGCTTCTTGCTTTTTCTTATTCTCATTTTATATATATATATATATTTTGAGTTTCGATTCAACCATCGATAACCTAATTATTACTCGACCCTATTTCTGATTGAGATTAGTGGATGGATTTTGTTCGTCTCATCATAATTCTCGACAGTATATAAAATGAAATTAACTCTGATTTAATTATGTTGGCTTGTTTTTTTTTTTTTAATTTGTCTCTCATCTTAATAATCATTTTTTTTTGTTTTAATTAATTTTATCTTATGTTTTTAATATATAGGTGATGAAGTATTTGATAAATTGAGTATCAAATATGGGAGAAAAGATGGGATACTTATTAATCTTGGCAAGTGTTTCCAATTCACAATTAACCAATGGTGTTGTGATTCAACTACACCAGTAAAGTGTTATGATTCAATGGAGCATTGTAAACAAAATTGTCCACCATGGACTACTAATCATAATTAGGATTAATTAATTAACAAATCCTCTTCTAATTAGAGTTTTTGTTAAACATCTTATGAAGTTTCATATATGAAATAAATAAGTTCTTAGAGTTATCGCATAATGTCTTTTTTTAGTTCTTGTGTTATTCGCTTAAGCATATTTATCTTTTAATTAATTAATTATTTTGTTCTAATACCTAAACAAATCGAACTAACAAAATCAAATAAAACTTTTCATATCATTTAGGCATAAAATTGTCCATATGGGAGCGCTAACCTTCGTGGAAGATTCTAGAGTTATGAAGAGATTTTGATACGACTCTAGAATATACAAGAGATTTCTTGGAAGACCTAAAAAACTCTAGGCCTCTATAAGAATTTTAGAAGTAGGTCTATTTACATCTTAACGATCTAATTCGAAGAAATTTATTTGAGCTTATAAGATCATGGTAAAGTGATATCCCGTTAAAAATCTCTTTCAAATTTTTCCCCTATATAGACAAACTAGTCTTCAGAACGTGCGTTGCACGTTTATTTTAAACTATTTAATATAAATTTTGTACTACAATCAATAATTTGTAAATGGTACATATATAGTATTGTACATGTTCTACACCAATAATTTTATAAAGTCCAAATAAGTAACATCTATTTAATCATTTAAACATAAACTTCTTTATATAAATAGAGAACATATTTAACTTAAAATGAACGAGAAGAAAAACATTATAAAAGAACATTTAAAACAATTATGAAAATAACTTTCAAATGGCCATAGCTATAATCACTTTACATAAAATAGTACAAACATTCATTATTTGTTATAATTCATATAACGTGATAAAAATAATATTATTTTCTTTTAAACATTCCTTACAATTAATCATAATGTCTTCGATCCGAATACAACAATAATGTTATTGCCTTTAACAATTCTATAAAGATTTATGACAACTTTTCTTCAGCAGTCTATGATTATGATCAGAAAGGAAATTAAAAAAAGAAGAAAGCCATGATATACCAAAAATGAGAAAATGGATCTTAATTTATAAGAGAGAACTGACATATTAACATATTTTAGTAAGAAGATCAGATGAGATTTATAAGTTAATTTTCATTTCTAGGTGACTTTAAATAGGAAAATTTTAGGTGAGGGGAGATGAAAGGAAAAAAATAAAAGAGACCTATCAGTTTCCTAATTAATTTTGTAACCTTTAGTCTTCACATTTAATTCATTGAACAATATCATTAGAAGTCTTTTTGTCTTCTTGATAATAATTGTTTCTAACAATTTAATATTAATTAACCATCAACATAAATAAATTGTAACGGGAAGAATTTGATAAATTTGATATTATGTAATCCTCCCTTATAATAATTAAAATTTAATATTTAATATTTAGTTAACAATTTATTAGACGATTAATATTTTTATATGATATAGGGACAAAATGTAATCTAATTTTTGCCTAATATTCCTTCCACGTTTAGTATATTATTATTATTATTATTATTATTATTATTATTATTATTATATGATATGATGGAGATTACATTAAATATACATATAGATAATAAATGATAAATATTATTAAATTAGATATTTTAATTAGAAATTAATCAAAGGAAGTACAAAAGTTATTAATATTTTTATTATTAAAATGAGACAATTTAATATTTAAATTAACTAATTAAATGTTAAATAATTAATCAAATTTCAATTTAGTATAAGGTCAAAATGGTAATTCAACTTTTCACTTTAAAGCTTAGCTATTATATAAGTATACATTATAGATGATAAATATTAATAAATTAGATATTTAATTAGAAATTAATCTTAGGAAGTCTAAAAATCATTAACATTTAATTAAATTTATACAATCAAATATTTAAATATTTTATAATAATTTAATTTGTAAAAAGGGTAAAACCGTAATTTAACTTTCAACTTTTTTGTTCATGCTTTTAGTAATATATGATGATGATAATCTCAAGTTGCAAGACAATATAGAGATAGATTACATAAAATTTTGTTCATTATATAATGGCCACACATCAACAACATAGACCACGTACATTTAGAATTTACTTGTGATTACTCTGAATCTTGAATTCGCCTCTGATTGTGACGAACTATATATGAAGAATTGCTAGATCAACAATGAGCGCGGCATATGTTTTACTACACAATATAGTGAGAACAAAACTAGATATAGTTGTGTCAATATTTTGCAACTCCAGCACTGTGAGCCTTCCCTAAAATCGACTCGATGCTGCCATTGAAAAGACCTAAGCTTTTCGCTAAAGCAAAGCCGCTATACATGCCATCAACAGCTGCACTTACTATCCCGCCAGCATAGCCTGCTCCTTCTCCGATAGGGTAAAGCCCCTTTAACGATGTGCACTCGTGAGTGTCAGCACTTCGCGAGATCTGGACAGGGGAACTAGTTCTTGTCTGTAATGAGGAACAAATGAAAAGTTACCAGTTTGGTTCAAGAAGCAAGAGATGTGCAAGTTATTAACTTGTGTTCAATCTTAAATGGTCATCAAACTATTGGAAATAGGTAAAGAAGTTATTAATCTTTTGTTATAAACTCGAAAAGTCATATTTCTTTCTTTTGTATAGGAAAAGTGATATATCTGGACACTTTTAAAAAGAAAAAAAAGAAGAAAAAAGCTAACCATTTGAGTGAAATCGCGGGGGCGTGAGACGAGACATTTTATACGGTGTGGGGCGAGGCGTAAGCCTCGAGACAACGGGCGTAAGTTCCATGGATCTACGGGGCTCTCATGTGTATTCAATTTTATATTTTTATTACCAATAAAATAAGCAAAAGTAAACCTTTTAATGAATTATGAGATAAATGTTAATAATCAATAATGAAGGAAAAAGTAATAAAATTATTATTTGAGAAATATCATTACACCAATAATAAAAAATATGATTTAAAGCAAAAAGAAATATATTAAAAACGCCTGGGTGTATGTTTTTACGCCAAGGACTTGCGTTTTTATGTTCAGGGCTTACGCCTCAAATTTTAGGACTTACGCCTTATGGATCTACGTTTCTAATTTACGCCCCAAAGCGTTTTTGGTACGCCCCGCCCCGAGACTCGCCCCCAAAACGATTTTGAAATCACTCGGTACTAGCTAGTTTCCAGATACAAAAGAACGAAAAAAAAACCTTTCGAGTGAAATAACAAAAGATAAGTGACTTTTCTGATACAAAAGCAATAAGGGGACTTTGTGACCTATTTCCAGTAGTTCTGTTTACGCAATCAACTCTCCGAAAATCCATATGTATGGATAGATTATATGCTTAATGAATTTAGAAGCATGTAATTTCCGAAACATAGAGCAAGTAAGCATATGATTAAATAAGTCGGGTACATTACCTCGACTCCGTGAAGAAGAGCACTATTTGAAATAAATCCCGGTAACTGTAGTTCCAAGTTCAACAGAAATGATGTTAATTTTCCGAGACGAACATTTAGTGATAATGATATATCATGTCCGCAAGGCAGGAAAATACCTCTTTGTCAAACTTCAAAAGTGATTGTTGTAAAGAGCTGGTTATGTGACCAGGGAATAGTTCATGGAGATTTGTTGCCTTAACTCCTAATCTATAACTGGACGATGGCACTGACGTCCCTGTAAAACGAATTGTAAGCCAGATAAGTATTTCTAGTCCACTTCCTGCTCTTCCAATTCAAAAGGACTTGTCGTAAAAAGTGTGTAGTTAATAGTCCCAACAGGGGTACGGCATCCTCCTATAATAGTAAGCAAGAGCAGCCAGACGAACTACTACAGTGAGTCTAGCATAGTCAAACCTCTCTACAACGATGTCATTTGTCTGGATATATTCTGACTTCTCACTGCTGTTATCGAAAACGTATAATGTAACATAATATGAAAGTCGGTTTCAAAGAAAACTTAACCGTTATACTGAAATGTTGTTATAGAGAGGTCTGACTGTAACTAAATGAGTGATGAACCAATAGAAGTGGTAGCCATGATATTTACTCCAAATATCTAAACCCCAATAATGCCACCAACCCCAACAAAGAGGTTTACCTGACAATTTGTTGTCGAGAAAATCGGTCACCGTTTGAACAGGTAACACAAAATTGCCTCCGCCCATTGCAGCTGCCCTTCGCTCGAACATCCTCTGAAATTATTCAGTCGAGGTGTAAATACTTGCAAGTGAAATATTAGCAAATGATAAATGTCTTTAGTTTATACTTGTTATTGCATATAATGTTATGGCTTCTATCTTCTGCCATCAAGATAATGCCAATACCAATTTTTCCAAAATAAAAATTGACTTTATTTCTCTTTCAATGTTAGAAATTACTCGAAAGTCAAATCTTCAGATCTCATTCTATTTGATGCATGCCAATCAAATCAAAGTACACAAAGTAAATAACCAATCAGCTCAACCGCTTCTCTTTGAGGCAAAGACGAACTCTTATAAATTGATTTTTCTTCCCTAAATGTTGGTAATTATCTGCTTAATTTTCATTAATTCTCAAGAAGTTTGATGTGAACCTCAAAAATTCAAAACGAGTTCATGATTACATGTTTATTTCTAACCGACCAATATGGACAGTTAAGGCGTACCTGAAATTCAACACCAGCGAGAGGTCCGTGCAAGTCCAAAGCAGCAAAATCCTTTGACGAGACTGTAACAACAAGTGCAGCATTTGCCCATTTAGATGACCGTCGGGAAAAGGACATTCCATTGATACAGAGCTCCGATGGATCAGTACTTGTTAAAACTACCTGCCAAAATCTTGCCAAGTAAATTATATCGAAATCAACACTGAAATCTATTGAAAATACATGTCTTTCGGAAATCACCAACTTAACATAGGCATATAAACATTTCTAGTTGTTGTCATCACTAATCTACATTGTCCGTAAGTTGGGTCCAGGGAGGGTAGGATGCACACAGACCTCACCCCTACCTCACGGATGTAGAGAAGTTGTTTTCAATAGACCCTCGGCTCAAGTGCAGCAAATCAAAGTAGTTATAAAGAAGGAAATTCGGCAGTAATAAAAAGCAATTGTTGTACCTGGCCACCAGGACACATGCAAAAGGAGTAACAACTGCGATTTCTTGGTGCAGAATTTG